TACAAAACACTAGCAAACCCAGGCGCACGAAGCAGGACCATCTTGAGCGCACATTTTATTTTTTTGCGTTAAAAAACTCGTGAGCAATTCATTTGGATTAAATTTTAAGCAATGCGTTTACCGGGATTTCAGTGTCGCTAAAAGATTTTAACCACCAACACTGATGACTGTGATACGATACACCTGCCACAATTTTAAGTAGTTTTACATCTTTTTAAATCTAATTTATCAAAAGTAAAAGTGTGATATCTAATATCTAATAGACACTAAATATATAAAGTATTTTTAAGTGTAAAGTTAAGGTAACATTTTTTAACGACTTGATCCACGTTTGTCTAAAATGTGAGGCATAGTCCTGCTGTATGACTGAAAATCTGTGTGAAAACAAACGCGCGCACTGAGTTTCTCTAAAAGAACCACTGTGGCTCGCGTTTTACAACTCTCCCCGCTGCAGTAGCACCTGCTCGATCACTAGAGGGGGTAAATCTGCTGCAGCACCTGTGCTTCCTTCTACTCCGCTCGCTTCGGCTTCAATCGGATCCTTTCGGCTGTCCCTATCGCCACAGGGGAGGATTTTCCTCTTTTCTCAGCCCCCTCCTCTGTTCTTGGAGAATCTCCTCCCATTGGCCCGTTGCACCTCAATGTGGGAGGGTCGCCGGGGTGGGGGCAACGCTGGGTTTATAAGTGCTGATTTGCGTCCTGGACTTCAGTGTCACTGCGTGGCTGCACTGTGAAGCTGTGGAAACAAAGTGAAGGCCGTTAGAGAGAGAGAGAGAGAGAGAGAGAGAGAGAGAGAGAGAGAGAGAGAGAGAGAGAGAGAGAGAGAGAGAGAGAGAGAGAGAGAGAGAGAGAGAGAGAGAGAGAGAGAGAGAGAGAGAGAGAGAGAGAGAGAGAGAGAGAGAGAGAGAGAGAGAGAGAGAGAGAGAGAGAGAGAGAGAGAGAGAGAGAGAGAGAGAGAGAGAGAGAGAGAGAGAGAGAGAGAGAGAGAGAGAGAGAGAGAGAGAGAGAGAGAGAGAGAGAGAGAGAGAGAGAGAGAGAGAGAGAGAGAGAGAGAGAGAGAGAGAGAGAGAGAGAGAGAGAGAGAGAGAGAGAGAGAGAGAGAGAGAGAGAGAGAGAGAGAGAGAGAGAGAGAGAGAGAGAGAGAGAGAGAGAGAGAGAGAGAGAGAGAGGGAGAGAGACAAGTGGAGTTTATCACCTATTGCATAATAACACGTAAACACAGTCAGGTGAGGAGCGCGGCCCGCCGAGGGCGACAGGACTGTGCAAGGGGCCGAATCTGTAAAAATCCAGTCCTTCGACCGACACCGAGGACGGGTCTCTGCAGACGTGAAGCTGGAAATCAGCGAGACCTCTGCGTGTGAAACTTTGAAAACTTTCTCCACGTGTGCATCTCGCTTCGGGATTCCTCGGGACTTTTGGCACGCTTTTACGCGCAGCTGCCCGGCGCTCCAGCGGAGGCAGCAGACCAACCAGAGAGAGACTGTGAGAGAAACTTTGGATCCGGGCCGTGCTGCAGCTGTGACTCCGCTCGGCTCGTCCTGCCTGGGACTTCACCCTAAAGTTGTAAACAGCCGTGGTCTGATGAGAGTTTCTCTCAGAGACCGAGCAGCAGCGACTGCTTGGGTCGAGCAGAGACCGGAGGCACAGTAAATCACAAGAAAAGGCGAGTGAGCTGCAGAGGTGAAGCGAGGACGAGACAGGTTGGTGTGACCGAATTCACCGGACTCGAGTTTCACGTTCAACTCTTGGTATTAAAGCGTGCATTTGACCTGGGATAAGTTGTCAACAAGAACAGTGAGCGAAGACGCACTGGCAGCTGGACAAGTTCATTTACGTGCACACGTATATTCACGCCACTATATATAGAAGTTGTCTTAGGGACGAGCAGCCTTAATAAGTTTCTCCACCCTCCCGTCGGCCCCGCTGCAGCTCTACGCACCGGGCGCGTACCCGACTATAAATACACCACACGGGCTTTTTGTCCTCTTCGCAATCTGTATCCCAGAGCGCTGCCCGCCGTCGGTTTGGCTGTGAGGGCAGGAGTCGTCGCATGGACTGACATGGCCACCGACCTCGCCATGAGCGCAGAGCTGCCCAACAGCCCTCTGGCCATAGAGTACGTCAACGACTTCGATCTGATGAAGTTTGAGGTGAAGAAGGAGCCTCCGGAGGCCGACCGCTACTGCCACCGCCTCCCGTCGGGCTCCCTCTCCTCCACGCCCATCAGCACACCCTGCTCCTCAGTGCCTTCGTCGCCCAGCTTCTGCGCACCAAGCCCGGGCGCGCAGCCCAACCAGAGCTTGGGCTCCAGCGGGGTCAACGGGGGTACCGGGGGCGGGAACAGCAACAACAGCAGCGGCAACAACAATCACAGCAACGTCGGCAAACCTCAGCTGGAGGACCTGTACTGGATCCCCAGCTACCAGCACCACATCAACCCGGAGGCGCTCAACCTGACTCCGGAGGACGCGGTGGAGGCCCTCATCGGGAACGCGCACCACCATCACCACCACCACCAGTCCTACGAGGGCTTCCGCGGGCAGCAGTACGTCGGCGAGGACCTGTCTTCGGCCTCCGCGGCGCACCACCACCAGGCGCATCACCACCATCACCACCACCACCACGGCCACCACGTCCGTCTGGAAGACCGCTTCTCCGACGAGCAGCTGGTCAGCATGACGGTGCGGGAGTTAAACCGGCAGCTGCGGGGCTTCAGCAAAGAGGAAGTGATCCGTCTGAAGCAGAAGAGGCGCACCCTGAAGAACAGAGGCTACGCGCAGTCCTGCCGCTTCAAGCGCGTCCAGCAGCGGCACATGTTGGAGACAGAGAAGTGCACGCTTCAGAGCCAGGTGGAGCAGCTGAAGCAGGACGTGGCGCGTCTGGTCAAGGAGAGGGATCTTTATAAGGAAAAGTACGAGAAGCTTGCCAGCCGGACCTACAGTTCCGGCGGTGCCGCCAACACCAGAGACCCGTCCGGGAAACAGGCCACCGCCGACTTCTTCATGTGAGAGACTGAAGATTTGTAGCATAGACTGTGAACTGAACTGAACTGTACTGAACTGCACCCTCACCCTGAAAACATGCGTTTCTTTTTTTTTTTTTTTTTTTTGCCTTTTCTGTATTTTGTTTACAGTTTCTCTTTTGACAAAAAGGGACTTTTAACTCACACAACTACACATTTGTCTGTGCACAGAACCAATCCTTGTGCGCACTCGCTGTTAAGTCTTAAAAACATCAACCTCTGTAAAACCATGGGATCAGAAAACCTGACATTATCAAGACCGTCTTAACTCAAATGATTCTCGTCTTAAACCTGGGTGTTAGAGGGTCTTTATTTACATTTTTCTTCTTTTTTTTTATTTCTCTGAAGAGATTGGACTGAAACAGAGGCAGACATAGCAATACACCACCTCTCCTTCCAGCTCCACGGACACACACTCAGTTTGGAGTGGCCCTGTGATGCAGAATAAGACCCCTCCCAATCCCCTCTTTTTCCTCCAATCTTGCAAGTCTTCAAAGTTGTCCCATCCCTCCATTTTTGCAACCCTGCATGCAGGACATGTATGGTATAACCTCCAGCCACAATTCTTCCAGAAAGCATGGCCCATGGTTCTCCTCTCTCCTTCAGCTCCTTTCCTTTCCTCCTTAAATCCCCCCCTCTCCTCTGCCTTTACCAAGGCCTGGGTATGCACCAAAAATCTTACCTCCATTTAAATAAAAATAAAATAATAATAAAAAAAAAAACCAGAAAGAAACACCTCGAAGGACTGAAGCGCAAATATATATATATATATTTAAAAAACCTGCTAAAACATGGATGCATCCTTAACTGCTATTTTCAATCGTTGTTTTTTTATTATTTAAAGACAAAAAAAGAGATTAACTGAGCCAGATTTTAGACTTGTATTTATTTCCACCTGTACATACATACGTAAATAAGGTTTAGAGAAGAGCAGTGGACTGTGTAAACTTTGACCTCTCTCTCTTTCTCTCTCTCTCTCTCTCTTTTTTAAATCTTTCTTTCTGTGGTTGCTCGGATCCTCCAACCATGTCTTAATAATTCAAATAATGTTTGTATGTTACAGCATGCAAATCTGTAAATCTATGGTATCCAGCCCTCTTCCTCCTCCTGCTCATACATGTGTATAATGTCAAAGGCAAAGCTAGAACTGCACTAAAGATGAAGTTTGGATCAGATCAGACTGATGGTTTCTGGGTTTGGCTCGGGTGGACAATGGACTGCATTCGCTGCTAAAAAAAAACAACAAAAACAAAAGAAAAAACAACAACAACTCTATGCACCATCCAGAAAATTCAAACAAAAATTACAGATTTTATTTGTCTTCATTTTTTTTTACTTGGAATATTTGTAGAGGATAAATTCAGGGGCCTGCAGCTTTTATTCTGCAGCCCAGTGTCTTAAAAAGCGAGGATGTTGTCCGTTGTGAGTTAGTCAAGAGGATTAAAAACAAACAGAAAAAAATAAAAATAAATGATGATATATGTGCAATATTGTGCAGAAGTGACCGATGCTCTGTCCACCTGTTGGAAGGAGGACAAGTGCAGAGGGAGACACTGGGAAAAAATGGAAATTCAAACCAAACGCAGGACAAAATAAATAATAATAATAATAATAATTATTATTATTATTATCGCTAACGAAATATATTTGCAAAAGTTTGCTGAAATTATTGCCAGCCATTTCAATTTATTCCGATTTGTTTTTTCGTTTTTTATCGAGGCCTTTTCTCACTCCCTAAAAATTAAAATTTGGCCAAAATCAAACGCAGACAAAGGGGAGAAGAAGACTTCTGCACAGTGCTGTTGATGTATATCTGTAAATATGATTTCTATATTTATTCAGTCCTCAAACGTGTCGACTAAGTGATGAAGAAGATGAAGCTACACAGTGGAACGTTGTTGAGAACCTTGTTTTCATAATGTTTAATAAAAAGTTCTGTCCCAAAACCTTCTGCTCTGCCGCACAAGTTTTTCAGGCATTTCTTTCATTTTTATTTAAATTCATAATTTACTAAAAACGTTTTTAATTTTATTTAAATAAATACATTTATAAAACTGATTTAAAGGCCAAATACACCCGATATTTTCTAAATCAATCTAGTGATAATAATACCAATAATAATGAAATTGAGTGTTATTTATTCATCAATCAAGCAAAAATGAATGAATGTTTATTATTGATTATAATATTAACAAAAAGTTAAAGTCGTAATACCTTATACTCGATGTATTTAAATTGTTAAAATGTACTTTATTGTATTTGTATTTAATCAACGTGTAAAAACGTTTAATTGCATCAGAATATATTGAATAAATTAGACGAATGAATAAAAATTACGATTATTATAATTGTTATTAATAATATTTTAATATGATGATTATCATTACTTGTTGTCGTTGTAATCAGGTGTATCCTTTTTATTAACAGCGGGAAACGGAATCCTTAATTTCCCTCATCATTTGACGGTCGTTAATCATTTCTTATGAATCATTTCTAGTATTTTCTAATATTTGAATATTTTCAACTTGTTACTGATTGCTCCTCGCTTGTTACAGTCGATGACAGAACTTTAATTTCCATTTTCTTTTTGTTTTTAGTCTTTTCGGTTCGTTCACTGTTTGTTCCAGGAAGCCGCATTGAGTGCGGGATGCTGCGGAAGAAACTGCTCCAGTCTTCGGTCACACTTCTCCAGAGTTTTTCGCTGACAGAACCAGAGAAGCAGCGGCGGCGGAGGCCGAGACTGCTGCCGCTGTCAGCGGGCCTGAGCTGGGGACAGTCACCGCAGCGGCCGCTTGAATGGATGGATGGACAGACGGGCGGATGAATGGACGGATGGACGGATGGATGGACGGACCCTTGACTCCTTTCTCCGGGTCAGAAGGTAAATAATCACAGAGTCACCTTCTTTCCGTCTCTCACTGTCATGTGCAGTTTTGCATGATACCCGCCAAGTCCACTCTGCGTGCACGGGAGCGCGCCTTCGCGCTCGCGCCTTGAGCTGCACCGAGTGGATTATTTTTTCTGCTGCTGCTTTTCTCAGGGCAGCAGGGCTGGATATCGGTGCTGAGGGAAGACGATCATCAGGTGTTTCAAAGACTTTCCCCCCTTTTCACATAAACACTGACCTTTTCAGAACCAGTTCCTCTAAGGAGAACCAGAACTTAGTCCTAATGAGACAGGACCTCATCCATCAAGCCGTGTGAAAGTAAGAAAGAAGTTTTCAACAGTTATAGAGTCGAGACATTTTTATTACAGTTTAAGCTCATATTTTACAGAGTCTGACTGATGAATCAGAGCTGATGGACCGGCAGACTTTCAAACTCCTTCATTCATTGGTTCTCTGGACCCACGTGTTCTAATCAAATGGTTATGTTGAAAACATTTTTTTTAATTAATTGGATGTTTTCAAATTTTATTTATTTTTTAATTCAAATGTTTCTTTTTTAACACACACCTGCTGTTCTGTCGAAAACAGTAATGGAATCTACGTTTGGATTCTGACCCACCAATCAAAGACCATCATGTACCAGCTGACATGGTGGTGTAGGATGCTGCCCTCTGCACGTACTTTCTTTCTTTCTTTACTACTAGGAAACATCTACTAGGATATCTGCTGCTGCCTAAAGAAATATTTGAGCAGGTCGAAGAAGGTCTGAATCAACTTACTCTGAAAAATGGAGTTTTGCAAAAATATTTTCTATACACATGAAATACTGCTTTAAGTTTATCTGTGGCAATAATGTTGTTGTTTTCAAGGTTGGATTTTATGCGTTTAATATTGCTGCCCAAGGTCTGGTGGTTAAAGATCTCGGGTTTAAATCCCAGCCACAGCTAAGGTGTAATGTGTTGAGCAAGCATGCACTCCTAGTAGCTCAGTGTTATTGTACCTTCAGTGCATTTCAAAGGAGCTGTTAGTGACCTCTGACCTCAAGGTTGTTTCAATGCAGGTGCTTGTTGATCTGTTTACAAACAATAACCCAGAATTTCTGCTCCTCATACCTCAGGTTTCTAGATGAAAACCTGCACAAATTATTATTTTTAATTAATTGCTTTTTATTAATCCTGAAAGTTAAATTAATTCCCTGTATTGAACTCATCATTAAAACAGCTCAGTGATCAACACTGGGCACAGGGGAGCAGTGAGCTGGACTTTACTGCACCCCCCCCCCCCACCCCCAGAGGGAGAGTTTTTGGCACTGGGTCAAGGCAGCACAGCACTGCAGCGGCTGGGATTGAAACCAGTTGTTGGATCGCAATCCTGATCCTGCATCGAACCCACAAACCTGAGGTTGAGACTCTTATGCTTTACACAGTGAGATTGGGCTTCTCTCCTGCCCATGGACACATCGGCATGCAACTGGAATCAAACTCCATGGAGGCTAATGTTGAGAAGGTGTGTGCCACACTCCTCCACATTTGTAAACGTGAGTGTGTGAAAGAGATGTGATTATTTCCTGCCTCCGTCGCCGCTGTTTCACACGTTTCACTCTGGTAAATACAAACATCCGACACACTCTCATCACCGCCGTCTGATTTGTTTGTATTTTTTATAAATAAATGTATATATTTATGTTTTCTCTCTTGCTCTCTCTCTCCCTCCGACCTGTCAGGACGGTTAATTCTGCCACTGACTGATGGGGTTCTTGGAGGTGGGTGGAGAAGAGAAACAGAGGTTTTACTCAAATTTTAATTTCCTCCTTACATCTCTGTCCTCTCTCCTCCTCCTCCTCCTCACTTCCTCCTCTCCTCTCCTCTCCTCTCCCTCCACCCATCATTCACCTCTTCTACCCTGTTTTTGCTGATTCAGGGGAAACATTGAGCAGTGTGACAGCCGTCACAAGGGTGAGTGTGTGTGTGTGTGTGTGTTTATGCACATACACCTGTTTTTTTTCTCCCTTAATAAATGAGGGCAGCCTCCATCCAAGGCTGCATCAAAAAAGGAGAAGAAGAAGCAAAGAAGGATGGAGAGAAGAGACTGAGAGAGGAGGAGCAGGAGGAGGAGGAAGAAGACAAACAGAGAGGTGCAGTGTGTCTCTGGCGTCTGGAGCTGCTGCTGCTGCTGCCGAGATTCGACACAGTCAGCGTCTCTCCGGCTCAGCTTACCCACTGTGCACGTACGTGCATGCACTCACACACACACGTGCACATTGGAAAGACAGTGCAGACGAACAGTGTGGAGGCTGCTGCTGCTGCTGCTGCTGCTGCTGCCACTGCTGCTGCTGCTGCCACTGCTGCTGCTGCCACTGTTGCTGCTGCTGCCACTGCTGCTGCTGCCACTGTTGCTGCTGCTGCCACTGCTGCTGCTGCTGCCACTGCTGCTGCTGCCACTGTTGCTGCTGCTGCCACTGCTGCTGCTGCCACTGTTGCTGCTGCTGCCACTGCTGCTGCTGCTGCCACTGCTGCTGCTGCTGCCGCTGCTGCCACTGCTGCTGCTAATAGAATAGAGCCGTATCCTTTTAATAAGAGTGATAACGACCTCGGCCTCCACTTCCTTCACCTGTTGTTGTTGTTGTTGTTGTTTTCCTCGTCGTCCAAGTTGCCCTGAAAAAGTGAGACCTACCCTGGGGCCCTGCACACCACACTGTCTCCCCCTGGGGGGGAGCCACAATAACTCACACTCAAAATGCAATTATACAGAGATATTACAGCAGGTGAATAAAGTGCAGCTCAGTAATGTCATAATTCTGTATGGTTTTGGTAAAATGTAGAAAAAAAAGTTATGGTCTAAAAATGGACATTGGCTTTCTAAAAAAGAAACCAAAACCAAAACTTGAAATTAGAGTGAGAGTGAAAATGTAATTCATCAAAAAGACAAAAGACAGAATTTTTGTTTCTTTTTCTCTCATTGACTTTACTCTTTTTGTTGAAATATGTTTTTATATCGATGGCTGCAGCTCACCTTTCGCTGGGAGTTGATCATTTTTCTTTGATTACTCTGTGAACCATGTCAGAGATTAGGGTGCTGAGTAGCGGTCAAAGGTCACTACAGTTTGATCATCCTCTTCATAACCAGCCAGTCACACTGAATAGGAAACAAACGCAGACCGGCAAGTCAGGCTTTTTAGTGAAGAATATAAAAGAATAATACTTCTTCAAAAATTTATTTTTTCTATGATAAAAACACAAATCCAGCCAAAAACCATATTACTGCTAATATGCTAATGTTTCTAAATGATAGCCATAAAAGTAGCTATAAGATCACGTCTGAGAACAGTTGCAGAAAAACTGAAACTGCAGTTGCTTTTGACAGAAAATAACTCAGGGGCAGTTACTAGCCTTTGGTAGATATTCTGCCTGACGATACAATACTTGCATGAGTGCCACTACTGGCCCCCAGGCCATAGTTTGGATATGGTTAGACAAACTGTTTGTATTAATTGCTGTTGCCACTCAGGCCTGTTCATTTTGCACAAAAGCACTCAGCTTGATACAGTAAGTGTTTACACACACACACACACACACACCTGCTCCCCAGGGACGGCTTCAGCTTTTAAAAGTTGTCACCCGCTGCAAAATGTAATCGACGTTTTTGATAAATCACCTGCGTGCTGTTAATGCTCACAGGGTATTAATAATTATTACCCCTGATCTGGTGATTGAGTTAGTGACCCGGGGCCAGGGGCCCCCACAGAGCAGGGAGAGAGACCCCCGCAGAGCCGGGACAGACCGGAAAGCAATTTGGCCCCGGCGACGCCGTATTCAGCCACCGCGACCCCAGAGTGTGTGCCCTGCCTCCACAGGCTCCACGCTGTCTTTACACACACACACACACACACACACTGACACACGGCGTGCTGACTAGGCAAATTTGAACATGCTATCACAGGAAGAAAATATGCCCAAACAGCAAATCCAACCATGTCCCCACAAAACAGTAAACAACCGGGAGAACAAAACAAACTAAGAACGAAGAACACTGAAGTCTGGACCAGAGATTCTGCACAAATATGATAAAAAAACAAAACAAACAAAAGACGATATTTAACTATAAAGTGAAAAAACTCTTCCATAAAGAGAAAATGACCTGGAGATATTTTTCAATTTCTCAGCAGGGCCGCTGTTATCGCAGCTTCTCTCCTGATGAAACGTTACCACAGATGACCTTCTATTTCCTTAAGGTGTAAGGTTCAGTACTCAGTGCCTCTGTACTGTAGTAATATTTGCCAGTATTAGAATCTCCATTCTCCTCCTCATCCACCTTTTCTTCATCCTCCTCTTTGTCCTCCTCCTCCCCCTCTCTCCCCTGATGTCAGTCACGGGGACGATTCACTGAGTCAACCTTTTTAATGAGGGGTCAA